TTACGAGCCTTCCCAAAATCCTGATGCCCTGGTTCTTCTTCACGAGTTTCTCTGATTATATGCTCAGTATACAGATTGAATAGGTATGAAAAAAGGATAGGACCCTGACATGCAAACCTTTTCTGATTTTTTTTTTTTAACATTTTATTAGGGGCTCATACAACTGTTATCCCAATCCATACACACATCAATTGTGTAAAGCGCATTTGTACATCATTTCTCAAAACATTTTCTCTCCATTTAAACCCCCGACATTAGGTCCTCATTTTTCCCCTCCCTCCCCGCTCCCCCCTCCCGCATGAGCCTTTGATAGTTTTCGGGGAGGAGATGAGCCAGTCAGGGTGCGATGTAACAATGATGAGAAATACAACCTTCCTCTAGTTCCTAAAGGTTTCCTCCCCGCTCCCACTACCATGACTCGAATTCTATCTTGCAAGACTGGCTAGACCAGAGGAGGTACACTGGTACAGATAGGAACTGAAAATACAGGGAATCCAGGACGGATGAGCCCTACAGGACCAGAGGTGTGAGTGGCAAAACAGGGAGGGTAAAGGGAGAATGGGTAGGAAAGAGGGAACCGATTACATGGAACTGTGTGTGACCTCCTCCTTGGGGGACAGACAACCAAAAAGTGGATGAAGGGAGACCTTTTCTGATTTTAAATCACCTAGTATCCCCTTGTGCTGTTAGAAGGACTGCCTCTTAGTGTATGTTTAGGTTCAATATGAGCACAATGAAATGTTCTGGAATTCCCTTTCTTCTGAGTGTAAATCCAGTTTGTTAGGATCCACACAGTTAACTATCTTTGCACAGTAAAGAGCTTTCTGGTATTCTCTGCCAAGACCCATTTGACGACAGCAATACTGTCCCTCATGCCATGTCCTCTTCTCAATCCAGCTTGAATTACTGGCAGCTCCCTGCTGATATGCTGCTGCAGTCGTCATGTTAACTAGGTTGTTATAAATTTAGAATGCATTTGTGTCATTACCAAGGCAAGCACAAAGAAATACCTAAAATATATACACAAAAGGAAACAGGAGAATGAAAACTGTTCATTACCAAAAAAAATCACCTCTGATGGAGGCAGTAGTGGAGGAAATGAGAAACAAAAAGAATTAAGATATGCAGAGGGGAAAAGTGCAAACCGGCCAAAATCATTCCTTATCAACTAACTTTAAATGCAAATAGGTAAAATTAAGTAAATTTTCCAATTAAAAAATAGAGCATGGTTCAATGGATAAGAAAGTATAATCTAACTATATGCTATCTAAAAGAAATTCACTTTAGATCCAAAGATTAAAAATAGGTGGGAATCTTAATGTTACCCCTAAGGAAAGGTAATCAAGAACAGATAACAGATTTTTAAGAGCTCACACTTTCAGATTAACTTTTAAAGAGTCACACATCTGATATCTATTTTTTTTTTCATTTCACACTTTTTCATTCACACGGGAACCTTCCTACTTTAAAGTAAAGCCAGTCACAACTGGTATAAAATCAAGTCATTCCAATACTTAAATTTTTCATGTTGAAGGAGGTAAATATGGTTACACAGCTGCTAAAAAAACAAAATTGAAGAGACAAGTAACTAAAGTCATCCACAGTATGGTGATTTTAAATAATTCCAAGTTCTTAGAACCATAAAATATATGTACCAGAAATATTTTAAGAAACGCAGTCATCTGGTTTGAGATTTATCCCAACAGGACATCTTTTCTTGGGAGGAAGATGAGTCTTAAAAGCAACTGCACACGACAAGCAAGAGATACTAATGTGTCTCTTTGTGTTTTCTCAGTAAACTGATGAGAACCATTCAATATCTGTTATTAAATCATAAAGGTAGTAACGTTATAACTTTTATGCCAACTATTTAAACAAATTAATATATTTGGATATATTACCAATCATTTCTGTATTACAGTCAAGCAAGTTGCCAGTTTCTCAAAACTTCCTGGTTTCAAGTAAAAATAATTATGGTAAATGCTGGCAACTAATGCATAGTTAAGCTACAGTGGAACATTACTGTTTGTTTAGGATCTCATTTCCTGTTCCAAAGTACTATAAATACGATATGAGACACAAACCTACGTAATACCAACTAGTATTAAAAGACAACAGGGCTCCCCCCACCCCCCACTACTAAACAGCTATTTTATTGTGCATTCTGTTTACTGATGACTGAATTTTTCTGCTGAGCTCTTAAGATCAACGTGTGTGTGTGTGTGTGTGTGTGTGTATTTAACTAAAGATTTCTGTAGGAAAACATTTTAAACTCAAAACAGCTTTTTATTTACAAATGTAATAAAATAGCAAGGGTAATAGATAACTTATTTAAAGAGTAAAATGCCTACCAATTTTATTGTAATCAAGTTTGAATTTTAAAATTTGTAATAAGTCATTTAACTGGGGGCTCTTACAGCTCTTACAACAATCCATACATCAACTGTATCAAGCACATATTTACATATGTTGCCATCATCATTTTCAAAACATTTTCTTTCTACTTGAGCCCTTGGTATCAGCTCTTTTTCCCCTACCCCCCCCCACCCTCAAGAATACTTGATAAATTATTATTATTTTCATACACCATCACCATCTTCTGTCTCCCTTCACCCACCTTTCTGTTGTTCATACCCCTGGGGCGCGGGGTGTAGTACACTGATCAGTGTAATCTGTTCCTCCTTTCTCCCCCTGCTCTGTACCTTCCCCCTACCCTTATGGTATCGCTACTCCCATTATTGTTCTTAAGGGGTTTGTCTGTCCTGGATTCTGTGTTTCAAGAGCTCTTATCTGTACCAGTGAACATGCTCCGGTCTCGCCAGAATTGTAAGGTAAAACTGAGGTCATGAAGTGGGGAGGAGGAAGTATTAAAGAACTAGAGGAATATTGTGTGTTTCATCAGTGTTATACTACACCCTGGCTGGCTCGTCCCTTCCTTGTGACCCTTCTGTGAGGGGATGTCCAAATGTCTACAGATGGGCTCTGGGTCGCCACTCCAATCCCCCTCGTTTGCATTGACATGATTGTTTGTTTTGGGTCTTCTGATGCCTGATACCTGATCCCATTGACACCCCGTGATTATACAGGCTGGTGTACTTCTTCCATGTGGGCTCTGTTGCTTCCCTGCTAGATGGCCACTTGTTCATCTTCAAGCCTTTAAGACACCAAACACTACATCTTATAATAGTTGGGCACCATCAACTTTCTTCACCAGATTAGCTTATGTACCCATTTGGTCTTCAGCAATTGTGTCGGGAAGGTTAGCATCACAGAATGCCAGGTTATTAGAACAAAGTGTTCTTGCATTAAGGGAGACTTGAGTAGAGGATCAATGATACTTAACATATAAATATATATAACATATATTTAACATATAAATATATATAAATAGATGGGTATCTATTTCCTTTTGAAGTTTGAAATATTTAAGATTGTACTCTTGACAATTATGTATGATCTCTAAGTAATTGTAAAATATTATGGCAATACTTTTAATTTGGTTCTTTGTAAGGTAATTAGTAAGTTGGAATGCCTGAATTCGGTAAATATTCAATAAAATTCAGTAGGTATCCCTAACTTTTCTAAAGTATCATGTCCAATTCTAAAACTATACTTTTAAGAAATCCATCAGATTGGATCATGGCTAAGATACTTTTAAAGTAGGGTAAAAGGATGGAGGGTGGAAGCATGCGTGACCTCAGCCTCACAGAAACTGGCCGTGGACAGCTGGTGCTGCGGATGGTGATTCTTTTCCCTCTCCCTACTTGAGTGAGAGACAGTCAGATGTGGCCCCCACGCCATTTTCTCACATATGTGCAAGGTAGTACCAGAAACTATGGAACATTTCCATGAACTTTTTGGAGCCGTCTCTTATATTCATAAAAGCAAGCTCATTCTGCATATGATCCTGCAAATTTTATTAACTTAATATACTTGATTATCTCTATCTCTACCAGGGCATTATTAACTTAATATACTTGACTATCTCTACCAGAGTAACTATAAATATACTGTATGAGGAGATATTTTAAAAGTTCAAGAAAAATGTCTTTTGTCACCTTTACAGATATCTGTATACTACTGCATCATCAGCCCAAACATCTCCTTGCATTTATATTGGCTAAGCTGGGTACAAGTGGTTCTACAGAAGGTAATAACCAACTAGAAATCAAAGAAGAAACCCAACTCTTAAAAACCAAGGCAGTGGAGCCAGAGCCAACGGAGGACAAAGATGTGGAAGCTGATGAGGAGGACAGTAGGAAAAAAGATGTTTCAGATGATCTAGATGACTGGAACTTTTTTAATCAAAAGAAAAAAACTAAAAAGAAGGCATAAAGGATCTTAAACTTGAAGTGATGCTCAAGAGCCAGCTGAGCAAGAGGATTATGCAAGTGCGCCTAGTGCGGTGGTGGGAGAGGGATCCTTAGGACTGGCACTGCTGCTGAGGCCTGGAGCTGACCTATCTGACTTCCGTCCGTGCCGAACCCACTCGATCTGCAGCCATGTCGGAGGACGAGATGATCTTTGATCCTACGTGGTGGTGGAGGTAGTGGAGGTGGTGGAGGGAAGAGGAGGGAGGAGGAGGAGGAGGGAGGGAGAAAGGAGAGGGAGGAGGGTGGAGGGGGAGGAGAGGGAGGAGGGAGGAGGGAGAAGGGAAGAGGGAGGAGAGAGGAGGAGGAGGAGGAGAAGCCCTTTATGCTGGATGAGGAAGGGGATGCACAGACTGAAGAAACCTTGACATTATGCTTGCCAATAAAAAGAAGAAAAAGAAGAGCGCCAAGTTCCCAGACGAGGATGAAACCCGAGAGAAAGACGAAGTTTTAGGAGATGAAGACAGCAAAAAAGATGATGGCATATCATTCAGTAACCAGACAGGCCCTGCCTGGGCCGGCTCAGAACGAGACTACACCTATGAGGAGCTACTGAATCGAGTGTTCAACATCATGGGGAAAATAATCCAGATATGGTTGCCAGAGAGAAGAGAAAATATGTCATGATACTTCCACAGGCAATCCGAGTAGGAACCAAGAAAATGTCTTTTGTCACCTTTACAGATATCTGTATACTACTGCATCATCAGCCCAAACATCTCCTTGCATTTATATTGGCTAAGCTGGGCACAAGTGGTTCTACAGAAGGTAATAACCAACTTGAAATCAAAGGATGATTCCAACAGAAACAGATACCCTGTTTCCCCGAAAATAAGACAGTGTCTTATTAATTTTTGCTCCTTGCAAGATATGACAAAATAATAATTTATAAATTATCAAGGGCTCATGAAGGAGGGAGGAGCGGGAAGGGAGGGGAAAAAATGAGGACCTGATGCCAGGGGCTTAAGTGGAGAG